CATGGCTTTATTTCCCTGATCCAAACGTCCCGTTCTTCCGCGTAACGATTCTCAGTCGATACGGAGAGGTGAGTCAATCGAGGCAACACCAACCATCTGTCATCATTTTTCTACCGTAGTCCCTACAACACAGATAATCGCCGAGAGAAATGCCACTGATTTTCTGTATCGATTCATAGGTCTATTACGTAACTGCAGGTGACACCGGATGGTAACAAGTACTGGTCGCTGATGTGTGAATGCGCACGACCCATCGATGATCCAGTAAGTGAATGGAAGTCGACGCTATGCAAAGGTGGCTAAACTGTGCACAGAGTTTTGTCCGATTTAGATAACGGAAGAGGAGGTTGTCAAACAAGCAATTGATGGATTGGTCATCAAGAGCATGATTCAACGAGACAAAATTGTTTCAGTTTACTCGACTACCTTGGAATACGGATATCCCATTCCTACTCCAGCCGTATGTTTTCGATTTATATCATGACTCTGTCTCTCCCGGCTTATCACTGCTGTGCTTAGTAACATCCCAATAGCAAAACCTTATAGAAAGCGTCCTAATTTGGATTTCGAAGCGCTCCTCGTTTTGAATCCATGATAGGGCGGATCCTGCTGCTATTTCAAGTCTTCACATCTTTTTACTGCGCAACTTAGGCAATTCATTCTTTTGCTCTTGAAAGCATAACGTACTGGGCCCGTAATCATTGGATGTTCCCCGCACATTAATTTAGCAACAGTTTCACCGTTACGGCTCTAATCGTAAGTATAGGGGAACCGAATGTGCGTGCTGTGATGGTAAATACATACAATAACACATTTATAGACTGAGGATCGAATCTCAGATTACTCGCACTCGCATAGGGTTTTACATAGTGATGGTTCCGGTTCCATACTGTGTCGTACGTGAAGCTTCACTGATGACCGACACATCCACCAAATACATGAATAACAATCGCCTGCAAGTGAACCACCCCTTTTATCCTGGTTCGCTCTGCCCGATCAATACTCACCCAGAACGACCAAGCCTTTTGTTTCTCTGGGATCAGTGCTACCGTCTTGGAAGAAGAGCATTGACCTGTTCATTATCTGACCACCACAAGTTTTTGTATAGTCCACATACGAGATTCAGAGCGCAGCTACAATTCTGAATGAAAGTCGTATGCGTGGCACATCCCTCAAACGGGATTGGTTAACGCCAAACGTCTTTACTCTTAAATTGCAGAGAGTTCCGACTTCTTACGAAGTCAAACATCACATTAGACAGCATCCCTTCTATAGTTTCTGATGGAATTGCCCATGCCATAGTACATCAAGACCTAGACTGTGCTATAAAATATTGCATCTATGCTTGAGAATCGGATTAGCTTTTGAGGTCGGCCTTTCTTTAAAAATTTTTGGCGTCATTAAACAAGGACTGTCAAGTCTTTACTAAAGAGTTTATGAAAGTGCCCCTTCCTCCAGTGATTCTCCCTTCCCATGAATTAAAAACTATTTGAAAAATCTTTGAAGATGCTGATATTCTAAGTCGAGTCTACTCTCCCCCTCAAAAATATCAGTAAGGAGTGAAAGAGTAATATTTGAGCTTTTAGAATAGGAAAAAGTGAAGTTTGTACGGTATTTAGTTTGCTAAGTAAACTAGAGTGACAAGGTGGGAAGATTCAAGGACAGCGAAGGAAAAAAATTCGCTCGTATTTTTCGGGATAACAAAGGTGTGAAAAGAGAAATATAACATTTCTTTGTTTGCAGCTTTCCTTCGCGTAACTTCCCATTCGTCCATAAGCTTCTACATACGATATATTAAGGCTAGATATGAGGTCTACTGAAAAGGTCTTCTTGAAAAAAAATTTGTTCAGAAAAGCATTTTTGGGGATACAAAGAGCTCTCAGGAAATCAGAACAGAGACTGTTCTTGAGTAAAGACAAATTGATAAGAAGTGAGCCAGAGGGTCTCTGAATGGGCGAAAATCTGTAAAATGAACGCATAAGGTTATCAATTCCTGTCTGTTTCAATTTTTGTCTGTTCCGTATGGAGACACCGTTTAAATAGCAAGGATTGTTTATAGCGAGACCCTGAGCTCGCTCGTGCACATCGTGAGTTGGAAAAGCACTCCATCTATTCAAGAGGACGTTTCGGTGGTTGGAAGTACGAGGTGTCAAATCAGGTGGGCTGTTCACAACAGTTCTTCACTAACTTTAGAACAGCTCCACAACTTTTCTTCAAAAGCTCCGTGGTTACAAAAAGAAAGTCGTTTTGTTTGCCATCATATCTGCGTTACCTATCATTGGTATCATCTATCAAAATTTTCAGGATCACTGCTTTATCCAGGGCAAAGAATTCATTGACCGTGTGGTACTGAACGAGCCTGAGAAGTTGTACAAGACTGGTTTGGCTGAGAGGCAAGGATAAGACGACTGTCTAAGCATATACAAACTGATGATGTTAGACGCTGGCATTTCTGGCGGTGCCTTAACAGAAATCTATTTCAAAACAGTGACCGGTTTCTATGTCTAGTAATTATGTGCAAATTATAAATATTGTTATGATAAACTGTGATTTATGGGAGACTATTCAATCAATTGTCAGTCCTTGCAAAGTATGGTTATTTCTCACCCTTGAACATGAGTGTAGGAAGCATTTGATCGAAACTGAACCTATGACTACAACAGAGCGCTCAAAACTTTCGCAGAAAATTTTCTTACAGAAAGATGTTGTGGTACATGCCACACCTACTTATGTAGACTGAACATAAACCGAGAAATATTGCCCACTGAGTGGAGGCTGGATTACCAGCAAAATTTGAAGCATACAGAGTGAAGAAAAATAGAATAGCAGACCAGAGAATGCTGAAGATCGCTAGAATGGAACTTCTTGACCAACTTTTCTGGTCGAAGAATTTGGTACCAGACTTGTGAATTGTGGGCAGCCCTTGCCATCAAGAAGGGTACCTCCTACCGACATCAGCTGTAGACAGATATGCTGAGGCCAGAGCCCCCTTCAGGAAAAACGCTTACTAAAACACCGACAAATCTATGAGTTGGTTCCATGAAGGGAGACTGTGTACTTTCGTCAGACAAATTTTTTAATAGACTCGTAGATGCTCCTCTGACTGCATTTTCGCTCTCTTGACGACGGCATCGTTCTACTTTTAAAGCCGGACTCAACGGGCTCACTGTGACGCTAGACTCAACCATTCTCGTTTCAAATTTTAATCTTTCATGGCAGCGTTAGTAGCTCATGGCATAGAAATAGAATGAAACCATAGAAACTTCCAGCATCAGACGAAGGTTATAGTGAATTCTCCGTCTCCTCTATCTCATGCATTTATTCCTACGCGGCAGGAGTCGGTGAGACGGCTTTGCGAGTTACTGCATTACTTTGCCTCTTTAAGTGTTTGAGTGTAAGTTTATAACTGTTTAGACGGGAGTAGGAACGCTCAAATGATTATTTCAATGCCAACTGATGAAATCAGTAGCATAGTTTCTCATACATTGACAGTCCTGCATAGGGAACATGCTAATGCTGTACTTCGAATTTCGAATAAACCAACATGGAATCGACGTCCAGTAGCACATAGGCTGTTTGATTGTGAAGTTCTCCTTCTTGCACAAATGATGAGATGGAATCACTCATTCTACTTTTTTGCTTTACTTATGCGTACGTTGTATCCGGAATTCTTAAGAAACCTCGAAGATTACGATATTATGTTCAGGGAATATGCATATTCTTGGAGCCTCTGCTGCTACATCTATTTTGCTTCTTTTCCTCATGCAGGTATGTTCGTTAAAGTATTACTCCAATAAAATTTTGCTCGAAAGCTCAACATCCTTAGAATACGGTTACTTGCCGAAGATTCGATACCCAGATTACTTGTGAGCCACATGATACTACCCACGCAACACATGAGCCCCGTTAAAATAGAATATACTCGAGAAATGTATATAATCTACTTTATATAACTCGCTTAGCGGGTCTGTTGATTTGTAGGTGTATTTGTGTATGCGTAATTGAAACCATAACTCTTGTTGCCACAGACCAAAAGGGTCCACATTTGATAGGGAAACAGAAAGTGGGATTGGAGCATTAATGGTAGGTGATAGGAAGGTTTTTCGGCACAAATGGTTGTGGCTGATAGCGAGCCATAGGCATAGACGGCTAGGTCCCTTGCTCTGTTCACGTTGGTATTGAAAACGTGACACTTTGATGGACGATGTGGGATGTAGAGGGACTGTAGATGATTGTGACAGGGTTTGAAAACAACCAATAAGCTGTAGGAGGTAAAAGTTATTGTCTTGGCCATGCCCTTCGTGAAGCACTGTGTCTTGGTACTATGGCAAGCGAAGTGGAATACGACGAAACCGTGCGATGAGAAGTGAAAATCGCCTCTAGATCATTTACACTTTTCGCTTGACAACGGAGAGTTATTACTTTAGTGTGGTATATAGGGTGGTAATTGATTGCCCCTGAAGGCACAGTTCACGACAAAACTGATTTCTGAAATTCCCCCATAGATAGGGCGCTATAAGGTCTGTACCGTGTGTATTCAAGGAGTTTCGCCGGCACTGTAAGGCCTCGCCAATCACAAGGGAACCCATGTAGGCATTTCAAACAACCTGTAATGACCACTAGCGGCAGTGAAAGATAATTCTTACAGTTGTTGCTTGATGTGATCAGCTTTTGCTCAATTGCAACAACCGAAATCTCGTCAGTCATGGTAATCTCGTCCAACGTCTTTATTTCCCTACTTTTAGGGAGCCTTATTCTTTTCGAAATCCCGCTTTCTTCACTACCTATGAACTATTCCCAACATATACTTCCGCTTTTCGACTAAAAAGGAGTAACTCAAAATCATCGTGAACTGTGCCTTTAACGAGCTCCAGATAGTGTTGCCAGCTGATAAATGCTTGCAAAGTTAGGATGGGATCACAGAATGTTTCTAGTTTCCAACTCCATCTCACACTGTGTCGCGTTGACATTATAATGCGTCACGATAATATGTCTATAGGACAAGAGGAGATAATGCAGGTTGACGAACAGAGGGTAATAAATGCAGTGATAGAGACTAATTAGTAATAAAGTATGAGGCATATAATTGCTTTCTTGCTTGCTATTACAATAGCTTACAATTTCAATTATTCAATTTCAACAATTTCTGTGTTCTAAGAAGAAACCACGCATACTCTTCTGAGAGGTATCGGTACCACGATACCTGTCCGGACTAAGACTTTCGGGCATTGAATTTTAGGCATTCAGGAGAACTATGAATATGACTCCTGGTAGTAATAAATATTATCATCAATCAACGGCTTTAGTAAGTAACATTCAAAGGCTTCAATTCAATAAAAAAGTTGCATAAATCAGGGAAGCTAATGGGCCGCTGGACTGATAAAGTAGGATCATTAACTACTTAACGCGCTCGCGTCTGTCTGTTCGTTTGTTTGTTTGTTTATAACAAAATTCGATATTTCTTGAAAGAGCTCCTGCAAAATTCATTTCAAGAATGGGATGGTCAAGCGCAGAACAAGACTAGAAGAGCACATATAAGCTCAGCAAAGTTCCGTCCACACTGAGTGGGGTATGGGTGGAACCTCTCATTTAGGCTTCATAACAGGCCAGAGGTGAAAAAAGTGAGCGAAGGGGAGGGGTAGGGTAAAAAGTGAAATGAACGAGCCACATCAGCGATGGTTCGAGCGTTTTTGCATTCAGCTACACTTTCCACACTGCTTAATAACCCGATTGAACCTAGGGGTCGAAGCGTGAAAAATGTAAAAAAATGAAAAAGGAATAGCAAAATCAACATGGCGTCCAGTCACAGTGGCGGAGTGTGCGTTTGAATGTGGAGTTCCGTTTGATAAAATTCATAACCTCGGTCAAAAACCTTCTAGGATGAGGAAAGGGTAACAAAATGAAGTGTGGCTAAATTTTTGAAGGAAGTTACAACTGTACCTCATGAAGTCCAGATATCCGGGAAAACAGGCGAAAGTTAGTGACAGACCCACAAGTCAGACGAAGTTGGCTCTCCCGCAAACTTCGGAAGTTCATGTATATACGTGTATGTATGCTGCTCATATACACAGGCTTATGCAAAACACTAGAACATTATTAGCTAACACCACCAATAGGAGCAAAGTTCAGGAACAAATTAAGAAAAAAAAAAACAAGAAGTACCTCTGCTTGACCGCTCTTCGTTGATACACACGCGGTAGGGCACAGAGAACAACTGGTTTCCGACAAATCGACTGTTTAAATTACGACGACAGAGGTTCCGTAAGGGCGAACAGCGCATGCGCCCTTCGATTTTGCGCTTACAGCTTTTTTCTGGGACTCCCCTTTAACGAAAAAAGCTAGTCCCATCGACGGTAACATCAGGCGTGACACATGAATTCCATAAGAAATTCGTTGTCCTGTTGAATGGGCAACCCCTATTCAAAGGTTTTATGGCCAAAAATCAATAATTTGTTCTGAGAAGTTAGCCGTGTATTTCGCCTTTGTAACGGGAGCCCGATGATGCCAGTCTGATCATGATAAAGACATCATGATCAGACTGGCATGTACATAATAGCTCAACAATACATGCTTCCATGTATCGTTATCATTCCAGGCACATAATGCCTTACTATGCACGTTCACAATCATGACCATTGAAGAGATGCCATGGGATAAAGTGGTATACAATAAAACAATCACTGCTCAAAGTGAAGGTGGTTGTCTCAAGCAGTGTCTAGAAGACTTTCCAGAATGTTCTATAGTTGCCACAGATAAAGTCGAACAGTGGGTGAGTTCGTCTCTCATGTTGGTTGCAAATCGTAAAAGTTTCAGTTGCGGAAGTTTCACGCTGAATTGTGAGATATGTTATGTTCTCCGTCTTTAACACTGAGCATCAAAGAACGTAGAAAGTGGCTAGCCGGCTTTGCTAGCCTGTTAGGCGCTCAGAAACATTTTCCAGCCGATCCAGCTGAGGAGATGTACTGCATGAGCCTTAGAAGGGAAGGATTACCTGGCTAGGTGAGATGATCGCCTCTCTTAAGGCTTAGGAAAAACGTCACATCGATATTCCTCATTGGGATGACAGCTGCTATAGCCGTCATTCTATCAAACATCGAAGGATTTGAGCATTTTCGATTTCTGATACTGTGATTTCAGATCTACTGCTTCCTGTACTATGAACGCTCCACTCCGCTGGGTTTACCCGTAGAAAGCTACGTGAATTATACCGCTGGCGAAAATATATACAAACTGGAGCGAGCCAGAAACAAGACCGCATGTCCTCCAGTAAATACCGTTCTTCCAGCCTGATCTGCTGGCAAGCAGGAACCCCTCTTTCTCCNCGTAATTTCATCATTTCAAATGATCGACATCAATCTTTGGGATTTGTCATGTGTGCAATGATCGCTTTGCTTGTGTTCTGCTGTGTCGCCGAATGAGCTCGAACTTTTTAGCTTGTTACTTAATTTTTGCTTGTCTATTCCTTTGCTAGATGTCAATAAAGTCGCGGTTGTCGATACTTATCATTATTATTGATACTGTGCGATTTGAGTACTTTATCTTTTAGCTCTTCGAAGTTCACCGTGCTAGACCCGTATTTACTGAATGTTCCCCGTTATGGGGTGAACTAGTGGTTCATTATACAAAATACGATATATCTAATCATTACGGGCCTAATCGTAAGTATAAGGAAAAAGGAAAGTGGTGTATAAGCAAATGACACACACACATACATACATACACCCACACACACATATATACACCTGTATGGGCCGAGGATCGAATCCCG